TACAACCCTGTTGCACACCTTTCTTAATTTTAAACCATTCAGTGTTTCCATGTTCTGTTCAAACAACTGCCTTCTTGGTCCAGGTAGAGATTCCTCATGAGCACAATTAGGTGTTCTGGAATACTCATACTTCGCAATGTTGTCCATAGCTTGTCATGATCCACACAATCAAAAACTTTTGCGTAGTCAATAAAACACAGATAAACATCATTATGATATTCTCTCATCTTTATGATAGTCAAGAAAAGGTACCCCCTTTTCTTGAATGGCCATTTTACAACCCCAAAAGACCTTTCACCAAAGAAATGAATTATCTGCCACAATCCAAGTACCAGTCACGAAAATGATGAATTCTCTTTTAAATCTGCTACCAGACAAACCCAGGCAAAAACCTTTCCTGTTAGCCAAGAAAATCTGCACATGTGCACCATGGCCACAAAAGGCAGGAAATGGATTAGAGGACACACAGAAGGTGAAGGGGTGGGCAGATTTGAGAGGTCATCATCAGTCTGAATATAGTCATTCCTGCTTTTACTGAAGGTCAATTTTGAATACAAATGCAGTAGCTTCATTTAAAGTCAAAAGGCAGTTCTGACAAAGACAGCCTTAAATCTTAAATACAGATGATTTTTTATGTCCAAAATTTCTTACTTAACCAAAAATTAAGTAAAATGGAAATCTCCTATAATGTAACAAGACTGGGTCATTTAAGTAGTGTTATATCTAAGCAGTCCAGACAGACAAGACAAACAATCCTATTATTAAAAGCCCCAAGAGAAATGTTCAACAGGCTCCTTAGATAATGAAGCTTGGCCTATACAGATCTCATTATAGTCAAGGAGGTCTCTTAAGGGCTAGCCCAGTGTGTGCATGTCTTTATGCTTTTGCACAGGCTGCTCTTGCCTCAAAAACTGTCAGTCTCCTCTCCAGTTCACTGCTAGGCTCACTCATCCAAGATTAAGCACCAAAGTCATTCTTTGCGTAAATGTTTCCCCAACTCCATTCTTCCTGGTTGCCACTCAGGCACGTGTGCAGGGATGCAGTTTTGTATTTGCTATGTATTGCAATTTTTGTATTTGAAAATCAACTGTTTTGAAATATATAAAATAAAAATCGAAGTCCTCTCCTATGTCTTTATTCCCATCACTTGCACTCCTGACATTCCCAGTTTAAAGTACTAAACCCACTACCATTCATTCAATTCCGACTCATGTTGTTAAGCCCCGACTCATAGAGACGCTGTACAGGGTTTCTAAGAGCAGCTAGTGGTTCACAGTCTAGTACTTATTCTACAGCGTCTACGGGCTGCTACATGTACTATTTCCAGTATCTGAGCAAAACGTACTGTATGGATGCCACTCAAGAGACAGCCCGTCTGGGGAGACTCATCAATCACAGCAAGTGTGGGAACTGCCAGACGAAGCTGCATGACATTGACCGTGTGCCCCACCTCATCCTCATCGCGTCCCGGGACATCGCGGCCGGGGAGGCGCTGCTCTATGACTACGGGGACCGTAGCAAGGCCTCCATCGAGGCCTACCCGTGGCTGAAGCATTGCCGTCCCCATCCTCCACTAGACAAAATGCCCTCAAAGGGAGAGGAGTGTTTTTAGTTCTTTTTTTTT